AATCTGTAAAAAAAAAAAAAAAATTCAAAATAGAATTGAAATGAAGTAATTAAGTAAAATGACCAACAGTAAACTCTTTGAAAGATGCTCTTCAATTATGAAGTTTTCCCAAGAATTATAAGAATTCATGTCGGAAAGATAGTAGGAGAATAAAGAGAAATTGGCCTAAAGCACCATTTTTTTTTCCTGGGCTATTTTTCTTTAAATACGAGAAAGCTAAGGAGCAAAGGTAAAAGGGCAAAGGTAAGGGTCAAACATTTGTCGTAATAAATATGAATATTGCACTTCTGAATTAATCAAAACTAGTAATTTAAGTAATTTACAATATAAATCATTAAATGCAAGGGAGAAATTTCAGTGTTTTCGATGATTTCAAATTTAAAATTATTTCATATAAGTAAAAATTGATGAATGAATTATTTTTTATAACCTTATCATCATCAGTACAAATGATATAACAACAATTGCGTAAAATCCAAACGATCAATGTTATCATGATAATAACCATAAATACAATGATAACAGCATAAAGTACAACAATCCATTCACGTGTACTTAACGCTAATGAGTCCCAGTAACTAAAATTTTAATTGAAATTTTAGGTAAAATGTAAATAATTATCAAAATACTATCAATTATGTGTAAAAAAAAAAAGAAAAAGATTGGTAGTTTTTTAAATAATTACCTCATATCAGAGAAAAAAATTACCCTTAACAACTACTCAGTGATTGTAAAATGATATAAAATGATTGCATGTAATGATAAATTCATAATTTATTTCAAACAAAAATAGCTGAAATAATATGAATGAAATTTTTTGAACATAATATAAATTAAATAATTTGAATTCTTTTCCTTCTCTTTTTTTTTTTTTTTTTTCAAGAAAAACTCTTTACATCTAATGTTTATTGAAATAAAAAAAAATATTTCTTAAAATTTTATTGCTAAAATAAAAATTTTTATTCTCCTTTGAAAAGATTAAAATTATTATTTTTTCCCCTTTAATTAATTCATTTAGCTGTCCTTTTCCATTTCAAAATCAATCAGCTATTGTGCGAATTTTAAATTAAACGCACTTTTTATTACTACTCCAGCAATTAGTATTAAATTTTGTTAAACATTATTTAATTATTGTTTATATTCAATTTTTCAACCTTTTCAAGCATTTCAATTTCTTTATTTTGTTAAAATATCAAAACTTGAAAGAATTTGTCCTATTATCAATCCAAATACACAAAAATTACATGAAAATTTAAAATTTCCAAAAAAAAATGACACAAAAGTTGCGGTGAATTAACTTTATTCAAGAATATCATCAATACTACAATCTTATGTAATTTATTCAAAGATAAAATTGCTTGTTCTTCACTACTAAAATATATGAAACTAAGCCTAAGCAGCATTCCTAACAAAGCTAATAATTAAATACGAATGTAATGGAATGATAAGTTGAATAAAAATGAGAAATAAGTTAGCATAGAGAGCAAAAATACATTAGGTAAGTGAATAAAAATAGGCAAAATTTACAGAAATTGCAATTTTATTTAATTCATAATAAACTTTGATATTATTTTTGTTGTCAGGAATAATATTTATTCTCGCCTTCTTTGCATAATTTCAATAATCATTTCTTGTAAATTAGTCAATCATTTTCATTTTGTTGCTCATAGAAATGTGCATTACCTAGCTATTTATCCTTACTATCAAGCAAAAATGTTTAATCAAAATGATAAATTAAAATTTGAAAAATATTAAAACTCTTATATGATGCAAAAAGAGACATCCTTTAATTACAGCGTAACAAATACTTAAAACCTGGTTAAAGCAAGCTGAGAAAAATTTCGAAAAATTCAATTTCAATTTTAGAAATTTATATATTCTACACTTCATTTTTTTTTCCGATTATTGCCTTCAGTGGTTTTTTTCTTACTAGTGAGTTCTTACCGTAATTCTTCTGAGATAGCAGTAAGATCGTAGACGATGAGTTAATTAATTAACAAAAATTTTTTTTTGGTAATTAGTGACTTCCTAGCAGTTAAACATATAATAAGAACAAATAAGGAAATGGTGCAATATTGATTTGGGATTTAAATGAATGAAATTAAGATCTTGCAGTGAGCTTACAGG